ATCTGGGAATCCATTTGAGAGCCATGTCCTAGAAAATATTCTACTTTTGGGATGTTTTACACTTCCTGAGCCAGATCTGAGGCAAACACTGCTCCTTTCCAGGTTGCCCTAGACTTGCCCATTAGAAAACAGCTATGCATATATGCGTCCCTCAAGAAGGCCCTTTGATTTAGTCCTTGTGCTCAGAAATACACTTTTTCTTTGATACCTGTTTTTAAAAGTGCATGCTTCATCACTGACCTGCAAGTGATGTTTCTTTCTTTTCCTGTTTGTCTTAAATTGTTCTTGTTTCTTTCTGTGCTGTCCGCTTATTCTCGCCCCTTTATTTCTGATGCAGAGATGAAGATAGTTGGGTGTAAGTTCCTGGTTTTTTGTGTCTTGTCTGCTCATGGCCTGCTTGTTCCCATCTTCATTTGTTTCATGGAATGTTACAATACTGGGAATGGATCATGTGCATTATTAATCCTTCATCAGCCTCACCTTCCTGTGTAACTGACAAGACCTTAAAAAAAAGCCACCAGCCCACCTTTAATCACTGTGTATATTGGAATATTTAGTAAGGCATAACACTCTTAGGTATGTAGATACAGGAAAGAATTTTTATGAGATAGATAAGTTACTCTACAAGAAAACGAGTAGTGTTTGTCCCAAGCTATGGAGTATCATAAAGGTGCAGAAAGTTTTATTTTTTCAGCTCTGCTAGGACATGTTTGATAAGAAGGACAGACACAGACATGTCCTTTAGAAGACAGCTCTTCTTAAGAAGAATAATGAAATTATTTACTACTACTCGGTGGATAGTACTGTGGTCAGTCTGAAACTTTGGCTGCTTGAGACTTGGGACTGCTTGACCTGATGGCATTTTTTTTTCTTCTTCTTCTTCTTTTTTTTGTGTGTGTGTGGGGGGGGAGGGGGCTTGAACTCGGCGTGGGCGCTGTCAGTTCCTCAGCTCTTCAGCTCAAGGCTAGTGTTTTACCACTTGAGCCACAATGTCACTTCCAGTTTTCTGAGTGGTTTATTGGAGATAAGAGTTTCACAGAGTTTCCTGCCTGGGCTGGCTTTGAACCCAGATCCTCAGATTTCAGCCTCCTGAGTAGCTAGGATTACACCAGTGTGAGCCACTGGCGCCCGGCTGGCTTTTTTTTTTTTTTTGTCGTTCGTGGGACTTGAACTCTGGGCCTGAGCGCTGTCCCTCAGCTCTTCAGCTCAAGGCGAGCACTCTTATCACTTGAGCTACAGCACCACTTCTGGTTTTGTGGTGGTTTATCAGAGATAGGAGTTTCATAGACTTGCCTGCCCAGCCTGGCTTTGAACTGTGATCCTCAGATCTGAGCCTCCTAAGTAGCTAGGATTACAGGCGTGAGCCACCAGTGCCCAGCATGGCATTTTTATTTTTAATGAGGCTTTGGCATTATCTCTGAGCAACAGTTTGGCAGTGATCACTACTGGTCTCACAAGAAGTTGGAATGTCATCACATTCCTGACCCCCCTCAAAAGATTAACTATATACAGTGATGTCACCCTTTGCCCCTCTTGTCAGCCTGTTAGAGCAGAGGTTATCACTAGTTTTGCAGTGGTATAATCCAGGAACTAGAGACATTGTGAGGAAAATAGAGCCCATCTTTTCTGAGTAATTTAATGTTCTTCCAAGAAGTCTTCTACCCTCCAAAATAAGAACTGCAAAGCAATTCCTCAATAAAGCAATATCTACTACAAAATAAAATATATCTGAAATTCCTCATATGGTGGCAGCTATCTCCATATCTTGATGATTGCTGATACTAGCCTTCTTCCTTTTTTGACAAGAGATAGGATTGGTGTAATCCCAATTGTCTGTGTTTTCTGGAAGGAAGTTCTTGTTTTCTAGGAGAAGGAAATCACATCTGAAGTGCCCTGACAATCATATCTATAAAAAAGTATAAATCATATAGTATTAAGCACTATTTTCACTTGAATGCAGAACTTCCTAATTTGTGGTAGGAATAATTTATACAGGAGAGCTAAATATAATAATACAAACCAGAGTGAGTACCCACCCTTGTGTGGGACTTATAGACCATTTCTTCTGAGATGGAATTTCACATAGGCTGGAACCTTTTTTTTTCCCTGGTCATGGGCCTTGAACTGTGGGCTTGGGCTCAGTCCCTGAGCTCTTCAGCTCAAGGCGAGTGCTCTACTACCTGAGCCACAGTGCCACTTCCAGTTTTCTGGTAGTTAATTGGAGATAAGAGTCTCATGGATTTTCCTGCCCTGGCTGGCTTTGAACTATGATCTCAGATCTCAGCCTCCTTAGTAGCAAGGATTATAAGCGTGAGTCACTAGTGCCTGGCGAGGCTGGTATGTTGTAAAACATAAGGCCTTAAATTCCCAGACCAGGCTGGATTTTCTATCAAGAGATTGCTTTACTAAAAGAAAATGTTCTGTTGCTTGAGCTACACCTCAAGGTTCCCGAGACCTCTAAATAGACTGTTCTCAGAATAAACCTACAAGATATGTCATGAGCTCTGATTCTCTAGAATCATACTAGTATAGGATGCATGTCTTTGGAAGGTCAAACCTATTTACTGGATCCTTGGCATATAACCCCACTGTCAACAGTGCTCCAGTACCTAAGATTTCTTCTTAGACCTTTTTTTCCATAAGGACCTCGAGTATTTCAGGCCAATCACGATGTGATGAGGTGGCTTCAGCCTCATTTTTTTGGTCTCCAGCAGCTACTGGTGTAGAATCACAAAAATAGGATTTTTAAATGTATAGTTGAAATGTAGTGTAGCTATTTTTATATACAAATATTTCAAGCAAGGAATTGGCAAATGATATCTAGTCAACAATCTGCTTTTGTACTGATTCCCAGCTGAGAGAGAGGGGGGAGAAGAGAGAGAGACAGAGAGAGACAGAGAAACAGAGAGAGCACACAAGAGTGTGTGCATGTTGTTATCCCTTCCACTTATGATTATCCCATTAAAGTTCCAAAACATTTTATTTAAGGGCATATTTATGTAGCATGGTCAGTCTTCATTGAGAGACATAGAAATAAATAGTGCTTATAGAAGAATAGTGATAATAGCTAACAGATAACTCTTTTTAAAAGCCACAAGGGCCAGGCACTGGTGGCTCACACCTGTAATCCTAGCTACTTAGCAGGCTGAGATGTGAGGATCATGGTGTAAAGGCAGCCTGTGCAGGAAAGTCCTTGAGACTCATCTCCAATTAACCACTGAAAAAATCCAGAAATGGAACTGTGGCTCAAGTGGTAGTGTCTTGAGCAAGAAAGCTCAAAGACTGTACTGAGGCCCTGAGTTCAAGCCCCAGGACTCACAGAAAGCCACAGCTATTAATCTTTAGAATAAAGGTTCTCCAGGAAGTGATAACAGCAGTAATATTTAAACCAAGCATCTAGTCTCTAGACATTAAAATCTCTAGATTATTTCCTGTTAAGTAAATTTTTCTAGAAACTGAATACTTAATTTCCATAGGGAAGCTAATGCGCAACTAGTAAATTTTTGTTTTCCCAGAGGATGAAGATGGCTCTGTTACAGTTTAAGAATTCAGGTGTATAGCTTGGAGGCATGGCTCAAATAAATGGTAAAGCACCTGCCTAGCAAGTGGGAGGCCCTGAGTTCAAACTCCAGAACCATCTGAAACAAAAAAACAGATGTAACCAATTCTATTCCAATGTATTCTAACCAGTATAATTCCATTATAGTAGCAAGAGCCCATGGGGTTGCTAATTAGGTTTGAATTTTGAACTTTGAGGATTTTCAGTACTTTTAGAACTTTTTTTATGCAGCCTGTATTCTCACAGTAGCAAACATGAATTTTGTGTTTTTCTTCTCTTTCTTCCTGCTTTTCCACCCCTTCTACACACCTGAGCGTTGTTAATGGTACACTAGGAGGAGCCCAAGAAAGATGTCCAAAGAAAGTGGATTAATGTTTCAAATTCATCAACATTCCAAATAGAGGATCTACCCAACCTAGGAGGAAACTCTAAACAGATTGTAAGGATGGACAACCTCAGTGCTGCCCCACATATACATAACAGCTGAATTTTCAGAATTCATTTCCCTCTTCCCTTCATGGTAGCTCTGGGAGTGTTTGTTTGGAAAGCAGGATGCTATTCACAGATTACAGAAATTTCCCAGGGCTCTCACAGAAAGAATAATTAATTTTCTTGGACTACTCTTCTTCACTTGAGCCCAAGTATTTTGAAAAACTTGATTATGCGTCCAAATAACTGTGATAAGGTTGCCCTCCAAGACAAGAGAGGTGATCTGTAGAAGGAAAGGACTAATCATGAAGATTCTAGAAGAAAGCTGATTTTTTGTCAGTCTTGTTTATTCTTGTTTCATGCATGAGAGACATTCAGATGCTTCCACAATTAGACATTGGTACAGAAAAAGGCATTATCATACTCCTATGAACAAACCCAAAAACTCATTTACCAACCAAAACCAAATCTTGTTTCTGTCATTGTGATTCTAGATAGTGAATGTATTTCAGTGTGCCAGTTTTTCTAAGAACTGAAGTAGAAAGAATATCTGGCTTTTGAATTGGCTTGCTTGTAAGTGAATTATGTGGTCACTTTTCAGTTGGTTGCTGTAGGCTGCTAACACATATTCTCTTTGGTTTTACATGTTTTTCTTAGCCATTTTCTGCCTTTGCATATCCCCCCACCCCCCTGCTTCTACTATGTTTTTGAAAGTCAAAAACATCCATTGTAAAAGCATCCATAGTTGAGGGGCTTAGTTTATAATCATTGTTCTAGAGAAGAAAGAGACTGAGAAGTCTGAATAAGAGACGACTACCCTCAATAAACTGGTGAACTTTAGCCCTTAGACACGTGACTAACCTTCCCGGTACTGCTGCACTGAGATTGATAGAATGTTCATTGTTATTAACCAAGCTTGGAATGATCACCTACCTGAGCCCCTGAAGATCCAAATGCCAACGGGGCATGTGAATTCTGTGGCTATGAGAACATGGCATCTCTTTCCTCACAGGTGATATCCGCAATGACCTGTACCTAACCCTGGAGAAGGGGGATTTTGAGAGAGGAGGAAAGAGTGTACAAAAGAATATTGAAGTGACCATGTATGTGCTTTATGCAGATGGAGAGATCTTGAAGGTAAGGCTTACAAGTCAGTCATTTGTAATGGAAGCTAATGTAGTAGTTCTAATATTTTGGTGGACATTGTCCAGAGACTCAGTCCCTTCAATCAGGACTGAATCCATCCTGCATGTATTTTTTCTCTGCCTTTTCCTCTCTTCAAGGAAACCTTACAATGTGTTTCAATAAAGACTTCCAATATCAGATAACCTTTGCAGAAGTTCTTACTAATGTCTGCCCTGAATGCCTTCTGCTCCAGTTTAGACCTATTTATTCCCTCTAGTTCTGTCCTATATGTTACCTCTTCTGCCATTCTGCCTAAGCATAGAGCTGCCTGCTTTTGGTACTGGATATGAGATCTCACTTCATCTTTTATTCCTTAAGCTGACACAGAAAATTATACTTATATTTTGATCAAGGTGGGACTTTGATGTTTACTTGATGGTAGCAAGTTATGGGAAAAAGAATATCACACTCAGCTCTGGGTTCAAGTCATTTTAACACAATGATCCTCTGTCACTCTTCACTGAGAATGGAGACCTGGAAGTGTTGTTTTTCTGTTGTCACTGTGTTCGTTTTTTCCTCTAGCATGTCATGGTAGTGAACATGGGAATAGTAAGTCACTACTTGCAGAAAGCAAACCTCACCTCTTTGTATTGGCAGCAGCCAATTATCCCCCAAAGCAAGACAGAAATGTTGAAATAGCTTGAACTCTGGGTATGAGTACTGTCCCTCAGCTCTTCAGCTCAAGGCGAGTGCTCTACCACTTGAGCCACAGTGCTACTTCAAGTTTTCTGGTAGTTTATTAGAGATGAGAGTCTCACGGACTTTCTGACCCGGGTTGGCTTTGAACCGCGATCCTCAGATCTCAGCCTCCTGAGTAGCCAGGATAACAGGCCTGAGCCACCAGTGCCCGGCCGATTGATTGATTGATTTATATTAAAAGCCCAACTCAAAGTCATAGACTTTCCCAGCATTTGGATGAAGAATGCTAAGATTAGCAGCACTGTCAACTATTTATGTCAGCCATGTGTGGATATTAGATGCTCCTGATTGTCCAGAGCTTCCTATCCTCCAAGGAAGGATCATTCCCCCAAGACTGCATCTTTGTGGCAACATTCAGGAGCTGGCTTAAATCTGTCCTATTTTGTTTATCTCCAATGAAAATTAGTAAAGAGTGACCTACAATGCTAGTCCAGCATTGCACTGAGGAAAATTAGAAAACAAGGTCTCTTCTTTTTAAAATTTAGTACTTCTTGATCTAGTGAAATAATACCAGAGTTTTAGTATTTCTTCCTGATCTAGTGAAATGTTATGCCTATTTGACTCTGTCATGAACCTCATTATTTCATTTTTCAATGTTGATGAAAAGTGTGCCTTAGTAATAAGGACTAAGGGCAGAAGTAACTGCAAAATCCTTATACCATCCATACAACTGTTTTCAAAAGTATCAGCTTTAAGTCAAATGCATTCTCATCTTAGATTTGGCCTAGCGCAAAATAAAATATTTACATTGGAGAAAGGGAAGTGTTGGCAACACAGAGAAATTGAGATGTTCCTTTTATGAAGATAACATGATATTTTGCTTCTTTCTTCCAGGATTGCATCAGCTTGGGTTCAGGAGAGCCCAATAGGAGTTCCTATCACTCTTTTGTCCTCTACCACAGCAATAGTCCTCGTTGGGGAGAAATTATCAAATTGCCTATCCCCATTGACAGATTCCGGGGCTCCCACTTGCGCTTCGAGTTCAGACATTGTTCCAGTGAGTGAAACTTCCCTTCACATTCCCTTGAGGACATGAATATAGTACTCCTCTCTGGAATGAAATTAAAAGGATTCTTATGAAAGAAAAAAAATGAGGAGCTGAGAGTAAATGGATCCTTAGAAATCAGATGCCATCAGAGGCTGTACTGAGGACTGTAAAAGCAATGGTTCAAAGCTGTAAGATCTAGTATTGACCCTTCTTACTGTCATCATCATTCTCCTTTGGGTGTTACCCTTAAACCTATTAAACTGCTTCTTTTTTTTTTTTTTTTTTGGGTCTGGTCGTGGGGCCTGAACTCTGGGCCTGGGCGCTGTCCCTCAGCTCTTCAGCTCAAGGCGAGCGCCCTACCACTTGAGCCACAGCGCCACTTCCGGCTTTTTTCTTTTTGCTTAGGTGGTGCTGAGTAATCGAACCCAGGGCCTCAGGCATGCAAGGCAAGCACTCTACCACTGAGCCACCTTCCCAGCCCCTTAAGCTGCTTCTTAAAAGAACCCTTCTTAAAGGCCAGTTTTGTTTGGATTCTGGTAGTCTGTATATATCAGAGTATAAATAGCAACTCATTCCAGCATACTTATCATTCCTGCAGTTAGCTTGTTTTATCTAGTTAATGAAAGAAAAGAGGGACAAAAGAATGTGACAAGGGCCAGGGGAATTTCTACGAAGAAGAGTGGAGAGCAAAAGCAAATAACACTTTTCTCTGATTGTAGCAAAGGACAAAGGGGAAAAGAAACTCTTTGGCTTTGCATTCTCACCCTTGATGCGTGATGATGGCACCACCCTCTCTGATGATATTCACGAGCTTTATGTGTACAAGGTATGGGATTTGGCTGTCTTCATCCCCACCTTTTCCCTGTGGCCACTCTTGTACGTGGTTCTCAGGTGGTTTTCATTGGATTGAGTTCTAAGCTGTGTGCTGGTGGTGGCAACAGGACAGCTAACAAGAGGCTTTTGTTTTCTAAGTATACTGAACTTCCTCCCATAACTAACACTGATAAACCCTTTGTGTCCCACCTCCCACTTAGCAGGGTGGAAATCCATTCCTAACTCCTCTATTCTATTATGGTCTTAGCTAGTACCTTATGAGACATGTTATTTGTAATTATGGCACGGTCAGCTGTCACCACATGTTCTATTTAAAAGGCACACTGATTGTTCTGGAAAGTTTCTAAACAGAAAGCACTCTTCCGAGAGGACTTGAGGAACAAGGTCCAACAAGTAGTAACTTATATATTCTTTGGAACGTAGTTTTTGTGCTTTGTCAATTGTCTACTTTTTATTCCCTACAGTGTGATGAGAATAGCACATTTAACAACCATGCTCTATACCTGGGCCTGCCCTGCTGCAAAGAAGATTACAACGGCTGCCCTAATATCCCCTCTAGCCTCATCTTCCAGCGCAGCACAAAAGAATCTTTCTTCATTTCTACACAACTCTCTTCTACCAAACTCACCCAGAATGGTAGGTAATGATGCCTGAAGGGTAATGTCCTCCATTGACTACCGTCATTGGTTCCCTGTTGATAGTGCATATTAAAGGAAACAGATCAATACTTCAGGATTCAGTAGGGTCTTTTTTCCATTTCAAGTTGAAGGAATGCTCAATAATAGCAACCTACAAGCTTTCCCATGGTTTTAGTAGCTCCACAGTTTAAGGTAAACAAATACCTCTTTGACCTTGATCTCAGCACTGAAGAGTATGTTGTGATGCTCACAGCTAGTTCTCTTCATTTAGATCCCTTGTGTCCTTTTTGTAAGAGAGCCTGGCCTTGCTTAATCATAGAAGACTAAGGGTTCACCATCTTTTGGACTTGCTTTCTAGTGGACCTCCTTGCTCTATTGAAATGGAAGGCCTTTCCAGATCGGATCATGGATATCCTAGGGCGGCTGCGGCATGTCAGTGGGGAAGAAATTGTTAAGGTATGTTTTCCATAATTTCAAACACATTTCCTAAGAGAGAATCTTGGCAGAAGACTTTTTGCTTCTTCATTATTTTTCCCAGTAAGTGTCTTAAGACCATTTCTCCAGATACATAACAGTAAATAGGAATATTTTTGGAAGTTTTTCTTGATAGTTGTTTTGTTGTTAGCTGCCTTATTTAAAATTACACACACACACACACACACACACGTGTATAAACATACACATATGTGTACATATATACATATACTTATATGTACATATACACATATACATATATACATATGTATAAACACACATATGTACATATATACATATACATATATATACATACACACTCTATCAGGCTTATTATGTTGTAAAAACTATATTTAAATCTATATTTAAGGTGATGTACAAACCAGCTGTAATAGCAGCTCTTGGGATGCAGAGACAGGAGGATCACAAATTCAAGGTTGGGATATTTAGTGAAACCCTATAGCAGAACAACCAAACAACAACAAAAACCTTTTTTTTTTTTTTTGGGGTCCAGTTGTGGGGCCTGAACTCTGGGCCTGGGCGCTGTCCCTCAGCTCTTCAGCTCAAGTCTAGCGCTCTACCACTTGAGCCACTGCGCCACTTCTGGCTTTTTTCTTTTTGCTTATGTGGTGCTGAGGAATCGAACCCAGGGCCTCATGCATGCAAGGCAAGTGCTCTACCACTGAGCCACCTTCCCAGCCCCAACAAAAACCATTTTAAAGTTATAAATCCAACTTTATTTCCAGTAGGCAAAATGGGTAGTAGGAAAAGTATTTTCAAGAACTGATCCCAGTGTTTTGGGCTGTATGTATTTGTTCCTTTGATTCTCTTTTCTCTTCTTTTGGTCTCTTCCTTATTTCCCTTATTTTGTAACTATTTTGCCACAAACTTAGCCTAATGTCTTTCTAGCAGCTCTGTTCTCCTAATTATAATAACTCTGAGTGCTGCACACTAACGAATCTGTTAATTTTGCTCCATCTCTCACTTTTAATACATGCCAAGGTAGCTTCTTTACCTCTACCTCAACTGCTTTCTATAGATGCCTATGTGATATTTTCCATCTATTACCCATAAATGGACTGCCAGAAACACTTTCAGTCCTCAGTTGACTGCATAGGTATTTTCTGGGCAGATTGCTTGCCTACCTGTTTTTAGCTGAAGAGTACCCCAAGTACTTAGTGGTGAAAGGCCATCAGAAAAATCCTACATGATGATCTGAACTCTGCTGAAAAAAGTGGAGGAGCCTTCACTCATCAGGAAGAAAAAATAGAATATAAGTACAGATTAAATCTCAAGAAATCATCCTGTCCGTAATGAGTATTTTTAGCTCTGCATCACTAGTACAGATAATTTAGTATGGCTGCTTTCATTTTGTTGCTCCATTGACTTGGTAATATACAATAAAGTACCTTCAAATAAGCAATAGTTTTAAAGTATGTGTGCCCTTATTAAGTTACTGTATTAATTTTGTTTTAATCAAATTATGATTTTTAATAATCATAGACAAGGCAATACTAGTTTTGAAGCTTAAGATAAAAATAATTTGTTTTTTTGTTTGTTTTTTTTTGGGGTCCGATCGTGGGGTCTGAACTCTGGGCCTGGGCGCTGTCCCTCAGCTCTTCAGCTCAAGGCTAGCGCTCTACCACTTGAGCCACAGAACCACTTCCGGCTTTTTTCTTTTTGCTTATGTGGTGCTGAGGAATCGAACCCAGGGTCTCAGGCATGCAAGGCAAGTGCTCTACCACTGAGCCACCTTCCCAGCCCGGATAAAAATCATTTGTATTTTTAGCATATTTAAAATAACAATCACTACACAGACAGGAGTCTGTAGGTTTGTTTTCAAAGTTGTCATTTTCCTGACAGGAGAACATCTGCTAAAGTATCTAGTTTAGCATCTGTGTCAGTTTAGCCAGAAGAGAATATACTGGCATTTTGTTATTGTTATTATTTTACTTTTTCTTGGAAAAATTTTAAGTATACCTATAGTAGCAGCAGTAAGAAAAAGTCTATATGTATCCCTCACCTGGTTTCAACAACCTTTAAACTAATCTTGATCCATCAATACCCTAATCTATACTTTTACCTCATGTTGTTTTGAAGTGAATTGTAAATGTTGTCATTAAATGGGATTTGACTAGCAAGATGTTAGATTTGAATTTTCCAGACTCAAAATATTCATTAGTACTTATTTATACTCCTTTTATTTTTGCAATGCACATGCTCCAAAACAGCAAAAAACTCTGCCAGATTTCTTACCCATGTTCACAGCTCTCTTTGATTGTATTCTCCCTTGCCCTGCAATACTAATTCCCAAGCCAAAAAAAAAAAGTTTCTCTAGGTAAATCTTAGCTTTCCATATAATTAATAAAGAGAAAAAGACTACTAGTAGAACGCTTTGAGTTCCCAATAAAGAGAATTCTTTTTCTCAAAATGAACTTGGCATCAGAATAACTGGTTCTTTTATGTCAAAATTAATATTCTACTGTAGTATCCTACTTTTTTAAGGTAATTGCTCTTTACTTAGAAGTTCAACACCTCGGGCTGGGAAGGTGGCTCAGCGGTAGAGTGCTTGCCTTGCATGTATGAGGCCCTGGGTTCAATTCCTCAGCACCACATAAGCATAAAAAGCCGAAAGTGGTGCCGTGGCTTAAGTGGCAGAGGGCTAGCCTTGAGCCGAAAAGCTGAGGGACCATGCCCAGGCCCAGAGTTCAGGCCCCATGACCAACCAAAAAAAAAAAAAAAAGAAGTTCAGCACCTCTTCCAAAAGGAAAAGCCTTTCTGTGTCTCTCTCATAATCTTTTGATCATAAGAAAACACCCCAAGTCTCTGTAGTTATCCCTTAGCTTGGTGGAAACAGCATATTAGATTATCATTTTTTTTTTTTTTGGCGGTCGTGGGGCCTGAACTCTGGGCCTGGGCACTGTCCCTCAGCTCTTTAGCTCAAAGCTAGTGCTCTACCACTTGAGCCACTGCCACTTCCGACATTTTCTGCTTATGTGGTGCTGAGGAATCGAACCTAGGACCTCATGCATGCAAGGCAAGCACTCTACCACTGAGCCACCTTCCCAGCCCGATTTTGTTATTTTTTTAAGGTTCTATGAGGTCTTTCACTTCATTTACTGGGAGCTAAATTTATTGGTGTGTAAAGTTTGATCATGCATTCAAGGCCTGAGACCTGAATCCTTTTCTTCTTATATTGTTTCAGTTTCTGCAGGATATTTTAGACACACTGTTTGTGATTTTGGATGATAATACAGAGAAATATGGCCTGTTGGTTTTTCAGTCTCTGGTAAGTCACTTCCTGACAATTAATTTTTTACTAATTATTCCTGTCACATGCTTCAATAGAGTTTAAGGGAAACAGTTCATTAGAGTGAATCAGCAGAAGGTGCAGAAAAGAGACTGAAGAATGTTACCCAAGAAAGACTGCAAATTAACCTCTGCCAGGCAGATCTCTAAGATGTTATGTTGAATTCAGCTTGGTCACATTGAGACCTAGGCTTTATAGATCTGGATTATCAGTCTCATTGCTATTTACAAGATTGCTTGGACCCTGAAATAGTGACTTACACTAGCAATCAGTTCAGAGACTAATAGAGGAAATCAGATGGCCCATTCCTCTTATCTGATAAAGTAGAATAGAGCTACTGGGAAAAGAAGAAACTCAGGCTAGTCTTTAGAGACCTGTACAGTTCCGGAAGTCTCTAAAGACTCTCTCCCTCTATGCATTTGTTTCAGAGCCAGAGTTTCAGATTATCTTAGTGAGACTGAACATTGAATAAATGTTTAGTACATTTTGCTTTATATCCAGTCTCACAAGAGGGCTTTATATTGAAGAAGAATCAGGTAGTCCAGTTTACCTGATAGAGAACTGAGGCCAGCGTGGAAAATAGGCACTTATCCTTCTGGCCTTTCTTCTTCTTTGTTTCCCTGACTACCAGCCCTGTTCATAAAGTGCATGGTCTTTCATAGCCTGATTTATCTCAAAGAACAGTCTTTTCCCCTCATTTTTCTACGTTTTTGGAAACACTTGAGTGTTTATGCACCTGTGCATTTATCTTTTACCTATCCCTGGTCCATATTATACCTCTCAGCATTACTGTGAACTAAGAGGTTCAGATTAACATACATATGAAGCATGGGGTTTCAGATTTGGATCAAGAGGCTGAGGGGTGTGAGAAAGAGAAGAAGCAAACAAAAATGCAGACATAACAGAAGTCATGTTTACTACCCATGAAGAACAGTTAGAGAAAACACTGACAGTTACTCTTCCTAGAAGATGTAAGAATCTCTTTTCTGCTAGGGACAGGTCTGAGGCCTCCTGTGAATCCCAGGTGGCTTACTTTCCATTTCTCCCAGGTTTTTATCATCAACCTGCTCCGAGACATCAAATATTTCCATTTCCGACCTGTGATGGACACATATATCCAGAAGCACTTTGCTGGAGCCCTGGCATACAAGTAAGTTGCATTTGTGGTCATTATTAGCAAAAAGATAATTTTAAAAAGTTAACCTGCAACCACCCCCCACCCCCTGCCAATTGTTGCAAAATGCCTGCAACATAAAATTTACTCTCTGAACCATTTTCTAAGCTTATAGTTCAATGAAATTAAATTCACTCACTCGTATTGTGAATATATTGTGCAGCTGTGACCAGAACTAGAAATATTTTCATCTTATAAAGCTGAAATCTATAGCAATTAATTTCTTTTAGCACATTGTAGTTTCCAAATAGTGTACAAGTCTTATTCCAAAGAATTTTATTATTTTATTTATATTTTGGTGCTGGTCCTGGGGTTTGAACTCAGGGCCTGAGCTCTGTCTCTGAGCTTCTTTTTGCTTTGGACTAGTACTCTACCACTTGAGCCATGGTGCCACTTCTGGCGCTTTGTGCATAATTTAATGGAGATAAGAGTCTCATGGACCTTCATGCCTTGGCTGGCTTCAAACCAAATCCTCAAATCTCATTCTCTTAAGGAGCTAGGATTACAGATGTGACCCACCAGAATCTGGCAAAAGTACTTTGTTTTTCTTTCTTTTTTTTTGTCTGTCGTGGGGCCTGAACTCTTGGCCTGGGCACTGTCCCTCAGCTCTTCAGCTTAAGGCTAGTGCTCTACCACTTGAGCCACAGTGCCACTTCTGGCTTTTTCTGCTTCTGTGGTGCTGAGGAATTGAACCCAGGGCCTCATTCATGCAAGGCAAGCACTGCACTCTGCCACTGAGCCACCTTCCCAGACTAGTGTTTTGTTTTGACACTATTTATTTATTTATTTTTGCCAGTCGTGGGGCCAGAACTCTGGGCCTGGGTGCTATCCCTCAGCTCTTCAGCTCAAGACTAGCACTCTACCACTTGAGCCACGGTGCCACTTCCAGCTTTTTTTTTTCTGCTTATGTGGTGCTGAGGAATTGAACCCAGGGCCTCATGCATGCAAGGGAATCTCTCTTCCACTGAGCCATTTTCCCAGCCCTTTTGACACTATTTAAATGGAAGTTTTCTTCCTAATTTTCTTTTAGATTGTTCATTGTTAGGGTATGTAAATATGATTGATTTTTGTGTTGATTTTATATCCTACAACTGTTAGTGTTTTGTGTGTGTCTGTGTGTGTAAACACACACACACACATACACAATCATGTCACTTGAAAACAGAGGTAACTTTGCTTTTTCCCTTTCTAGATCGGATGCTTTTTATTTCCTTTTCCTTCCTACTTGCTCTGGGTAGAACTTCTAAGATGTTTTGGGAAAACAGTGGCAGAAATGAGTATTCTCTTCTTATTCCTAATCTTAGAAGAAAAGCTTTCAGTCTTTTGCTATTGAATATGATATTATCTATGGGCTTTCAGCTGAAATTTGAAACTACAGTTTATTACATAATTGCCATACTTGCCTTTCTGAGAAATGATGATGGCCATGCATAGTAGCCTACTCAGGAGGTGGAGATGGGGAGGATTGTGATTTGAGGAAAGCCTAGGCAGCAAATTCTCCACACTTCATCTCAGTCAGTAAAATCTAGATGTGATGGTTCCCACCTGTCATCTCAATTATTCAGTAGGACAATGCAGTCTAGGTTGGCAGGGCATAAAAAACACAAGACCTGTTTGGAAAAATAAAAAGTGCTGTGGGTATGGCTCAAACAGTACATCACTTGTCTATCAAGTATAAGGCCTTGTTCAGGTGTCAAGACTATAAACAAAGGAGGGAAAGGAAAGGAATGGGGAGAGAAGAAGGAAGGGAGGGTAGGTGAGAGAAAGGAGAGAATGAGAAAGGGGAGAAAGAGAAAAAAAGAATGGTAAAGCTAGTAAAAATAAGTCTTGTTTCTTGTGAAACATGAATAGGAAAAATACCACTCAAATTTCAGAGAAAAATGATTTTATAACTAGCAAACGAGAGAATACATAATATCTAACACTGTTAAAAATGTTAAACACTTAAAAAAACGTTCTTTCATGAAGTGAGCACAGTTTTTTTTTTTAAAAACAAAACCTAACAGCAGCAAAATATTGGCATTAGAACTCTGATACTTATAGGTCACTTTAGAGATCATACACTATTCTATGTGCTTTGCATGTCATCCTATTAATATTCTCAATAACTTTGAGATGTACTATTTCCTCCGTATTTTAAATAAAAAGAATGAGGCACAGTGGGATTAAATAACTTAGCTAAGGATACAGAGATAGATACTACAGGCCCCAGATCTGAACACAGCCTTTACTTTGATTTCTGTGATCTCTTGCCATGTAACTTTATAAACCTTCTGAGCCATTAATCCCATTCCTCTCAGATGACTTGATCCTCAGAAGACAAGGTTAGGATGGATGACACTGGAAATAAACACTTATTGAGAATTTTCTTTTCACAAGTCAGGGTTGTATGTTCTGGACATAGCAATTTAAGACAAAACAAAACACATATCCAATCTAGGTTTCTGGGAAAAGAACTAAGGGAAAGAGAGATTGTACTTGCTGATTAAAATAGGGCAACTCCATTTGAACAAGGAAGTCTGTCTGTCTCAGATGGTATGAAAATTCCACAGTTCTAATGGATTCATTACTCCATTCTAGCTCATCAGCAGAACATTATTTCCTATTTGACTAATTGTTTCTGAGTTTCTTACTTGATTAAACATTTTGCACTGAATGCCTTAAAAGGAGCTTTAAATATGGGCTTTCTTTTATTGTTCTCTTTCCCAGGGAGCTCATCCGCTGTTTGAAGTGGTATATGGACTGCTCAGCAGAACTGATTAGGCAAGATCACATTCAGGAAGCCATGCGGGTAATGTCCTAAGCTCACTGTACATATGGGGGGATGGTCACTCTTTAATATTCCGTTCACCTCTCATAACAACCTGTGACTCTTTAATTCAGAAAACAGTTGTAAAATTATTTTTATTAGTATCAGTAAAGACAGTGGTTCCTTAGTTGGAGTTTTGAGAAAAAAGTTTTCAAAAAAATAAAATAAACCTATCCAAGTTGGAATTGCCTGTCACCTGATTTTCATTCCTAGACTGTATTACTTTCCTTTCACATTTCTAGGCCTTGGAGTACCTTTTCAAATTCATTGTACAGTCTCGAATCTTGTACTCTCGAGCTACATGTGGGATGGAAGAGGAGCAGTTTCGGTCCAGCATTCAAGAACTTTTCCAGTCTATCCGATTTGTGCTCAGTCTGGACAGCAGAAACTCAGAAACACTCCTTTTCACTCAGGTCTGTGAGCTGCAGAGTTTGGCTACTAAATTCCTTGCCGGTCTTAGCAAATGGTTTCTTTGTCCTCTGACTTGCAGAAGCCCTACTAGAATCTTATATGTTGGATAAAAGGTAATTTACAAGGAAACATCTGATAGAACAAAATGCCACTTTTATTTTGAAGTTAACTTTACCTCATCTACCAGGTATGAAACAGGTTAGTGACTTAATGTTGGAGAAATAACACAAATTTGTTGTTGGGAACCCTCTTTTCATACAAATCAGCAACCATTCTCTAGGTTTTTAAAAAAATGAATACCTTATAGAGGATATTCAGGATTCCCTATTTATGGGAATTTCATTTCCTAGTTAGCCAGTGTTAATTTTTTTGTTTTTGTTTTGTTGGTCATGGGCCTTGAACATAGGGCCTGGGCACTATCCCTGAGCTTTTTTTTAACTAAAGGCTAGTTCTCTACCACTTGGAGCCACAGTGCCACTTTTTTTATAGTACTTTTCTATTCTTAGCTAAGAGTGAAATAATGGAAAACTACTAGGAATAACTGGAAAACACTGGCTAAAAAGTAGGATTAGATTCTGTTAGAAATATCAGTATTGAATGGGCCAGGCAATTGGAAGGTAAAGATCAAGAGAAAAAGTAAGGGGACTGGGAAGTTGGCTCAGTGGTAGAGTCCTTGCCTTGCATACATGAGGCCCTGGGTTTGATTCCTCAGCACCACATAAGTAGAAAAGGCTGGAAGTGGCGCTGTGGCTCAAGAGGTAGGGCACTAGCCCTGAGCTGAAGAGCTGAGGGACAGAGCCTATGCCCACAGTTCAGGCCCCACGACCGGCAAAAGAAAAAAAGTAAGGCTGGTGCCAGTTATTCACCCTATACTCTTAGCTACTCAGAAAGCTGAGATCTAAGAATATTGGTTCGAAGACAGCCAGGGAAGACAAAACCAAGAAACTCTTATCCCCAGTTAACCATAAAAAAATGCACATAATTTTTTTCTTTATACCAATTAAAAGATGAGTAATAGCATAATTTGAATTCCTTCCTTCTCTTGCCAGCAAATGGCTTGGCAAATTATAAAAACTTCAAGTAACCTGAGCCTCCAGTGAATTCTGTTGTTTTGGTTTCCTTTTTAGTTCTCCTTACTTCTCGCCCATGTTGAGTCAAGGACTTGGGAAGAGTCTGCTCAAGGGAAAGATATGCAATGCTTTTTGAGCCTCTCTTTTCACTCGTACCATTGAGCATGCAAGACAGATGCAAACTTAACTCTGAGCTAACCACAGCTTTACTTGCTTCTGCAGGCTGCACTCTTGAATTCTTTCCCAACTATCTTTGATGAGCTGTTGCAAATGTTCACTGTGCAAGAGGTGGCAGAGTTTGTGAGAGGGACTCTGGGGAGCATGCCCAGCACTGTGCACATTGGGCAGTCGATGGATGTGGTGAAGCTGCAGTCTATTGCCAGGACAGTGGACAGTCGCCTGTTTTCTTTTTCAGGTAAATCAAGTTGGGGTAAGAGGCTCTTGTTTCTCCCCTTCCAAGATAATAGTCAGGTGATTCTCAAAGGATTGGTTATTATCAACCATCAAGCAATAAACCAATGACCCCTCTTCTTAAACTGTTAGGAAAAGCAGCTAAGACCCAGGCCTACTGCTTCCCTCACAATTTGTTCATAGAGATCTATTTCCCAGGGCATGCCTACGGGGTATTATCTTAGTTTCCTTTTGCTTGTATTGTAGAATATCATAAACTAGGTAACTTAAGGCAGTTACTTTTCACAGTTCTAGCATCTGAAAAGTTCAACATCAAAGTGCCAGTATAGTTGGTATCTAGTGAGGACCCCTTCCTGTTTCATAGATAAGCTATCTTCTCTCTGTGCTGAAAGGAACAAGGGCGCTTTCTGGGGTCTCTTTTTAAAGGGCCCTCCCATTCATAAAGTCCCTGCCCTCATGACCTAATCACTAGCAAGGGACTCCTTTCCAAATGCTGTCTCACAGGGGTTTAGGTTTCATTGCATGAATTTGGAGGGGACACAACATTCAATGTATAGCAGTTGGGGCTCTTGTCCTCAGGTTGGCCACAAGTCTAGCCAGTTGCTAGTAATGGAGTCTGCCTTCTACACTTCTAGAAGAATAAGAAGACAAAGGGGGAGGAGAGAGAGCAAAAGAAAAGGGTCCAGCCAAGTACTGGTGCCTTACCCCTAATCCTAGCTACTCACGAGGCTGAGATCTGAGGATTGTAGTTTGAAGCCAACCCTGGCTGGAAAGTCCCTGTGACTTTTATCTCTAATTAAACACCAAAAAGCCAGATGTGTAGCTGTGTGGCTCTTATGGTAGAGTACTAACCTTGAGCAAAAAGCTCAGGGACAGAAACCAGGCCCTGAGTTCAAGCCTCAGGACCAGCACTAAACAAAACAAAACAGAAACAGCAGGGGGGTGGGTCTAGTCTAAGAAGATGAGCATAAACCAAAGAAATAAAAGAGGCCTCCAAAGGAGGCCCTGAAAACTCTATGCTTGCTTATTTTCTTGTGTCTCCAGTCAGATTCCTTTTTCTTTCTTTGGAAGAACCACAAGGATTAGAGAAAGAAATAGACAAGGATCCCTTTGTTCTCTCTAAGTGGTCACAACAGCCTAATAGATCAGCAACCCAGGCTGCCTCTCAGAATGAATATTTGGACTAATTTCTGAAACATAATGCTTGTGATCAAAGTTCAGCCTTGCAGGGCCATCAAATACTCAATGTTTAAATGTTAAGAGCAATAGGAGAATAGTACGTTAAGTAGAATGTTACTATTATAGAATAAACTGGGGCACAGGAATAAATGTGGAACATTAGCAAAACAATGACTATTCGAATTTTATAATCAGAATTTTGTGCTTAATTTTTAAAATCTGACTTTAAGACATAAGAACAATTTCTCATTTCAATGCTACACATATTTGCAATACTAAATAGATGTTCCCTTTGACTTAGCTCTGCCAGGGTAGACTATTGCTGATGGTAAAGCTGTCACCAAGAAATTCAGCCCTTCTCCACCAGTAAGTGTTTGTGGTAAACACTTTTCTCTGTTCCACCTCTTGGAATGAAAATTTTATCAGTGATTTAAACACTGTCACTAAATCCACTCCAGTTTTGTGCACTGCCTCAAGAAGATTCTTTCAGAATGTATAGGAAGCCCTCACTGAGATACTTTATTTCTAGTATTCTTGCATGTGCTCAACAGTTGTATACAATGGCTTAAGAATTTTTTTTTCTTAAAATTGATGTGGCATTGGACCATGGAATTGGATTTTATGGCAAATCACCAACTTTTCATTTGCATTCCACTCTCACTGAATGTCCACATTATGGTATCTTTCTCAAAGCAAGAGATTCCATACTAGTGATATCATTTAACCAAACTGGTATCTTCTCCAACAGGTTCTGTTAACACACTATCACTTTGTCTAGAAGCAACTGTTAGTTGTTACAAATCCTACTCTGTATTTTGATCTGGTACAAAATACAGTAGCAGCTTTTTCTTTACCTAAGCAACCTTTTAAACAGAATGTCTGTTACTCTGTTTTGTTTGAACTTTTTTTTTTTTTTTTGGTCATAGGGCTTGAACTCTGGGCCTGGGTGCTGTCCCTCAGCTCTTCAGCTCAAGGCAAGCACTCTACCACTTGAGCTATAGCACCACTTCTCGTTTTCTGGTGGTTTATTGGAGATAAAAGTCTCATGGGACTTTCCTGCCTGGGCTGGCTTTGAACTGTGATCCTCAGATCTCAGCCTCCTTAGTAGCTAGGATTACAGGCATGAGCCACCGGTGCCTGGTTGTTTGGACATATTTTTTAGTGTTGACACTACAGTGTCATATTTCATGTAATTTATGTTTGGCTTAAAAAATTTTTTTCCTTGCTGGGCGCTGGTGACTCATGCTTGTAATCCTAGCTATTCAGGAGGCTGAGGTCTGAAGATCATGGTTTGAAGCCAGCCCTGGCAGAAAAGTCCATGAGGCACTGATCTCCAATAAACTACTCAGAAAAAGCTGGAAGAGGAGCTGTGGATCAAGTAGTAGAGCACTACCCTTGAGCACAAAGAGGCTTAGGAATAGCACTGAGACGCTGAGTTCAGGCCCCAGGACCAGAAAAAGAAACTCTTCCTTGAATGCATACAAAACACTTAACCTATGATCAGATATAAATAATAAATTCAAATGCCATAGTTTATGTTATTGATAATCTCACTGAAGCTTGCTGGCTAGGTATGATGGGATCTGTAGGGTCACATAATACAGTGTGCCAGAAACATATTCACACTTGCATTTCATTTTGTCTGTGAAGTAAACATAGAAGAAGCCATAACACCCATCTTACAGATAAGGAAAAACAAGCCAGTGGGAGAAGGAGTTAAACTGCCTAAGTGTTCCAAATGATTTAGTAAGGGTATTTAAAATGTAGAGCTTAGTCTTCCTCAATTCAGAGTTCTAAAATGTTATTCTGATAACATTAGGCAGAAAAGAGAAAAATACATTCAAATACATTCAAGTATGCAGTAGGATTGGCAATAAGCATTGTCTAGTTATCAAAGGCTATGACAAGGCAAAGGTTATACTTCTGTTGTATCCAATGCTGTGTATATACCTAACAGCAACCTAACCAGCCTATGGAGAAAGGACAGAGCTCTAGTGGTTTTTACGCCAACATAAATGATTCCCAGAATATCAGATTACTTAGCCAGATTGTGAATAGAGGTGCAGTTAGTAATACAAATCAAGCCTTCAAATCTAGTCATTGTAGTTGATGCTAGATGTGACATTTACTTTAAGTTTTCAATGTAAACTGTACTTTTAATTTGGAGTTTAGTCATTAAAGAGATTTCATTTGGAAGCAGACTGTAGTCATTCAACCTGCATAAAATGCCATGAATACAGAGACTCTAATTGAGAAGGAAGGAAAAGACGAAAGAACGATTTATAATTTCCAGACATGAAGCTTCTAGACTCTTTTAAGGGAGGAGAGTGACCTCCACCTTTGCTCCAGTTTCCACCCCACCTTCTTTGAAACCAGTTAAGTCTCACAATACCACCACTATCTTCTGGTAGTAACTAGTCCTCCTCTAAAGGGCTTCCTCATCTTTGTGTTTTCTCTGCCAGAATCCCGCCGCATCCTGCTTCCTGTGGTTCTCCATCACATTCACCTTCACCTGAGGCAACAGAAAGAGCTGCTAATCTGTTCAGGGATTCTCGGCAGCATCTTCTCCATCATCAAGACCAGCTCTCTGGTAGTGGCCCACACCCACTCCACCCTGCAGTTCTACCATAGTCTTGTATTAACTGTAACCAGAAACAGACCAACAAGTATGCTTTGTATACTTCTCAGTCAGACATGCTGATAGTGACAGGAGGTACCTGAGTAAATAGAAGTTTGTATGGACTCAGCAGATTTCAGCCTTACTATTTCAAAAATGTTTCACTATCATAAAAACCTAGAAATACAGTTACCTCTAGAACTAAAAGCCCAGTCTTATGCCATGCATAGTTTCTGTCAAAAGCTATTCTGGATTTCTAGAAGTTTTCTTAGAATACTAGGTATTCTAAGAGCATAGACTAAGGGATAGCTTTCTCATCATACTTTTGTTTGAACTTTCCAACAGCTTGATTTCACCCATAAGGTATTTCTACCCCATGCCAGATGAGATTAGATATATAAGAAATAATGTTGTTGCCCACAAAAGCTCTGAGCCTATTAGATGAAAGAAATCAGGTTTCAACCAACAAAATTGTTGCCTTTTTTTTCTTTTAAAAGAAATATGTGTAGGAGGGGAGGGATTAAAGTAGGGAACAAAGAAAAAAAAAGACACAGATGAGTAGAAACTTATTTTGTATTCTCTATTTCATATAATTTTGATACTAAAAAATACACTTACAGAAGATTCAGAGCACATAAAAAGAATAAAGAACAGGATGGGATTTATTATACTATTTTAAAAATTAAGATTCCAAGAGAATAAATTTTAGTGCATTTAAAATGAAAGCCAAGGATCAAGCATATTAAGCTAGGTTATTCCGGTGGAGCAAGAGAGGCACTTAAAAAAAAAGAATCCAGGGGCTGGGAAGGTGGCTCAGTGGTAGAGCGCTTGCCTTGCATGCATGAGGCCCTGGATTCGATTCCTCAGCACCACATAAGCAAAAAGAAAAAAGCCGGAAGTGGCACTGTGGCTCAAGTGGTAGAGTGCTAGCCTTGAGCTGAAGAGCTGAGGGACAGCGCCCAGGTCCAGAGTTCAGGCCCCATGACCAGACCCAAAAAAAAACAAAAACAAAAAAAAGAATCCAGCTGGGCGCTGGTGGCTCACACCTTTAATCCTAGCTACTCAGGAGGCTGAGATCTGAGGATCAAGGTTCAAAGCCAGCCTGGGTGGGAAAGTCCTTGAGACTCCTATCTCCAATTATCAGAAAACCAGAAATGGCACTATAGCTCAAGTGGTAGAGCACTCACCTTGAGCTGAAAAGCTCAGGGATAGTCCCCAGGCCCAGAGTGCAAGCCCCACAATGGACCAAAAAAAAAAGAAGGAGGAATCCAGAGCTGGGAATGTGGCTTAGTGATAGAGTGCTTGCCTAGGACACATGAAGCCCTGGGTTTGATTTCCCAGTACCACATAAACAGAAAAAGCCGGAAGTGGCACAAGTGGTAGAGCGCTAGCCTTGAGCAAAAGAAGCTGAGGGACAGTGTCCAAGCCCCAGGACTGGCAAACAAAACAAAACAAAGCAAAAAAAGAAAGAATCCAGTAGGGATTTCTGAGGTTTAAAGTTAAAGTACCATCTGGTCACAAGTACCTAACTTCTTGATGGTTGAAGTAACCCCATTGTTTGCTCTTGGTTACAGACAAGACTTGGCAGCCCTCCTCACCAATCTTCAGAGAAGTCAGACAAGAGATAAGGTTTACTAGTAACCCAAGGTTGTCTCTCAGGGAAGCTTATTGCTAAAAGAGGGGCATAAATTGAAGCAAAGAGAGAGAGAGCAAGAGAAAGAAAAACATGGAACTGATGAAAACTTGAAGGACATGATATTTTTAGTTGTATTTTAAGAGGACAGAGAGTTGAATATATTTGCCTACAACTGCTTAAAGATTGGTCACAGGAAAGAGTATTACAATGACTTTGATAGACAGAAAAAATGACTTAAGCCCCAAGAGTCATGTGGAATGGGGAAAAGTATAGTTACACTGGATGGATGGATGGATAAAAGATGAAATTTAAGTTACATGTTCAGTTCTCTGTATTTAGGTTCTCAGTGACTGGCCCATGGTAAAAGTTTACTAACTGATAGGTGGATGAACATTAGGACCAGTAGTAGTATAAAGATCTTGGAGAAAAAGCAACGGGAAACTCTTTGGGAGATATTTTAGATCAAGACTAGAGTCTGAAATGAATGTGAGAAGTCTATAAAAGGAAAACAGATTCTTCCAAAAGTTTGATGGCCAGGAGACAGATTGTAGTGAGAAGACATGTTCTGTTATTTCTGTGAGGCTGCCAAGGAATGATAGATTGAGACTAGAGTCCTTCATATGGACCAGGAGCAAGAGCAAGAGAGCTGAAGAGGTAGAAATGGCACCTAAGTATAATTAGACAGCAGTCAGGGCTTGCAAGATTGAGAGCAGCCAAAGAGGAAACCTCAGGATGAAATGTGCACTACTATGTGCATTACTAGCAAAAGAGCTGCTGCCACACTCTAGGATGTCACTTTACCATTTGTCAAACTGTCTGTTCTCGAAGTGTTAGTCAGCAGGGTTATGCTTTCTCTTGACTATACTGGGGAAGTCGGAGAAAATCTTTTAACTCAGGACATTCACTTACGTCTTATATGTTAAAATTAACGCGTCTGTCTAAGATTGAGAATTTTGGCTAGTGTGGTAAGGGCGAGCCCCACCACCAGGCCAGGGCAACAATGGCAGATGTTTTTTGCCTCCTCACAGCCCTTATTCTGAGTTCCTTTCATGCACATTGGTGAGGCTGAAAGCTCAGTATTGAAAGTCCAGCCAGAAAACTGTTCCTGACATGGCTGACTTAGTACTGCAGGCAAAAGCATCCATTTGGCCTGGTGCTTTAACAGTATACTCTCTCACTGCTCACTCCAGGAAGCAGATGTCATAGAAGAGGTAGAGATGATGGTGGAGAGCCTCCTGGACGTGCTCTTGCAGACTCTACTCACCATCATGAGTAAATCGCACGCTCAGGAGGCGGTAAGAGGGCAGCGGTGCCCGCAGTGCACAGCCGAGATCACTGTTAGTAACTAACATTCAGGTTTTCTTGTTTTTTTCTCTAACCTGGGGCTCCTCCATATTACTCACCTCTCACCATCCCACCACCTTTATCTCAGCCTGCCCTCCTGCATGGTAGTCAGCATGCTACCCTCTTCCTGAATCTGACTTCCCTCTTTACTCTGAAAGCTCTAATTTCATGCTTCAAAAATACTTCTAGGAGTCTACTGTAGGGCAGATTCGGAGAATTCTTCTTAATCTTGTTTTTCTTCTCAGTTTGTTGTTGTTTTTTGGCTGTTAAGCCAAGTCACTTTCTATGAATTGTAATGAAGCAAGGAAATAGATGTAGTAAGAGGTTGAAGGTGGCAAGTAGATATTCCTTCTAGGAATCCCCTTATACAGATTCTCCTAAATGATTTGAAGGAGAGAATAATTTTCTCAGAATTTTCTTGTACCTACAAACTAGTTGTTTTTATCCATAGTGTTTGTATCTAAATTTATAGTACCAGGAAAAATGTAATGAGATAGAATTACTTAGGCATTGCAGTTGAAGCAATGATGACTGTATAAATGATGATTTTGTATGATCTAATCAGGAAAGAGATAACCTGAAAAGGCCTCTCTCAGAAGGGATAGAGATAACGCCATGGATCCTTGCCTTCAACCATACCTAGAGGAGATTTCTCAACCCTGATATGGTAACATGATAAACAATTTGTGTGAAATCTTTCCGTTGGCAGATGAGATATTACAGAGCTCTCTTTGAAGAACACCCTCTATGGGAGCGAGCCAAGCTCCAGCCATAATAGGGAGAACAAATAGAGTGCCTGGAGCAGGCATGTGTTGTGGAGCATTGGGCTTGGAAAGAGTGCTCCTTTAAGGAGTCCCTGTTGGAAGCACTCTTGCTGTAGGTAAAAACATGTACCCTACATGTCCTGGTAACCCACCTATCTAACCAGCACTTAATGCAGTGCTTACTGAATACCTGGTTTAAGTATTTGAACAATTACTAATGACGTGATTCACTTTTAAGTTATAACGAAGATAATAACAATTATAATTTATTGGGTTAACCCAATCTGTTCCTCACAAATGAATTATGGCTTCTTATGCCCAATTATTAGATATAACTGAAGTTCATATACATGTACATAATCTGCATACATATATGCATAGAGATTTTAGGATTTTAAAAAGGTTTGAGAGACTAAAAAAAATTGTCTGATTCTCATGAATTTGGGAGGATTTAAAAATCCTCCAAGTGAAGTACTTTTTTCTCCTTTCCTCCTGAGAAGTCAGCCTGCTAGGAGGAAGCCACACTTGGCTGACCATTTAAAAATTGCCGTAAGATCATCTTTGGAGTCCTTAAAGCAAGGTTTGTTCCATGCACCCAAATTAGCAACTTGAAGAAATTTAAGATACACAAATATCCTTAAAGATCCTATTTGCCTTAAAGATCCTAACTTGTCCCCTCTAAATAGTCAATTTGGAACCTTTGCTTTTCAACTGTGGTGATCTGCTCTGTTCCATTTGTCAACTGCAGTTTCCCATGTGCAAACTCTAGGATGCAACCTAGGAGGTCCTTGCAGAAGGTCTAAAACTGCCTTGTTGTAAGTTAAGGCTTTCAGTAGCCCCAGGGTGCAGAAGACCTCACTAAAACTCTGAAATTCTCCAGAAAAGAAAGTTCATTTTCAGAGCCAGAGTTGTCACCTTTCTTCCATGATCATTGGGGGCCATTTCAAACCCTCCCTTCTCTCCTTGCCCTCTGTGTACTGTGGCAATGGAACCTTAATGATTAGCTACACTGTCTTTTTTTGGGTTGTTCCCCAGGGCGAATATGTATCCTGCCTTCTCTCATTGCTTCGTCAGATGTGTGATACCCATTACCAACACCTTCTGGACAACTTCCAGAGCAAAGATGAACTCAAGGTAGGAACAAAGCATTAGCTTTTCTCCCAGGAAAAGAAGTGTGCAGCCAAGGCTCTTTCTTCCCTATCAGGGAAATAAGTTCATGTGACCTTCAACTGCCAAGAGTGTAGGATTCGCCAGCTCCAGTTTATAGCTGAATGAATATGTGGCCTCCAGAAGCTAAAAGCCAGCCATTTCCCTACACAAGCAGATCCCAGAAAATTGGCACATTTTCTCTGACAGCTAGCAGCCCTGCAATTATATGCCTGTATTTGGGGCTACTCTGGGACATACTGGTTTGATTAGTCAGTATTCCTTCCTTGCTTGGGACTTTGGCAAACCAGGGTTTGGTTATTTAAATAACAATAGTAATAATTCTGACAACTTGTCTTGATTTAAATATATTTCTGAAGGTGGGCACTGGTGGCTCACACCTGTAATCCTAGCTACTCACGAGGCTGAGATTTGAGGATCATAGTTCAGTGCCAGCCTAGGCAGGAAAGTCCATGAGACTCTTGTCTCCCAATTAACCACCAGAAAACCAGAAGTAGGGCTGTAGCCCAAAGTGGTAGAGTACTAGCCTTGAGCACAGGCCCTGAATTCAAGCCCTAGGTCTGGCACCAAAAACAACAACAACAATAACAACAACAACAACCCCCCCAAAAAACTTAATAAAAACCATGCCTTTAATCTTAAAACTATGGGCTGGGAAGGTGGCTCAGTGGTAGAGCGCTTGCCTTGCAAGCATGAGGTCCTGGGTTCGATTCCTCAGCATCACATAAGCAAAAAGAAAAAAGCTGGAAGTGGCACTGTGGCTCAAGTGGTAGAGCTGAAGAGCTGAGGGACAGCGCCCAGGCCCAGAGTTCAGACCCTACAACCGGACCAAAAACAAAAAAACTATCTGGTTTGGATTAATTGAAGTTCAAATGGAATAATTTATATAAACTTTGCTCAAGTATAATTCTCTAGTATTTCCCTTTGTGTATGATTGTCATACAAATTACAGTTTCTCAAAATACTTTCATGTGCATTCTTATTTCTTATTCAAATTATTGTTCTTTTATTATAATTTAAGGAACTCCCTGGAGTCTTTTTTACAGAGTTTTGTTTATCTGAGAAGGTGTTAATTTCTTCTTCTTTTTTTTTTTTGAATAACAGTTTTAATAGATACAGCATTCTTGATTGACAGTCTTCTTTTAGCACTCTGATTATATCTGCCTTCTGGCCACATTATGTCTGCTGATAATGAGACAAGATAGTTAGGGCAAGATGATAAAGAAGTTAGAAAATACATAAAAAATTAAACTAGGTTCAGGAGCTGAGATAGAAGCAGGAAATAAGGCTGAAAAATCACTAGAACCACAGTATATTGAATCAACTATTCAAGAATGTACAGACATGTGCATTCTTTTCATTATCCTCCCTTCTCTTTTAGGTGTTAAATGAGAAACACCACCCCAGAGGGGTAATTAGGTCTGGGAATAGAAAATTCCTGTTTTTTTTGTAAGTCTGTTACCTAGGAAGAATGCCTTAAAAAAGGGGCCATGAAGAACAGAATTTCTTTTAATTATATGGCCAAGCCAGGCCCTATGTTTCTGGGCTTGAGTGATAATGTTAAAACAAGGTAATTGGGCAGTTGCTAGGTAACCATACATCAAGATAGCCAGTTTTGAACTAGAACTCCTGCCCAATTTGGATCTAAATATCTTGGATGAATACCTCCCATTGCACCTTATGCTCTTATCTTTAACATCCCAGCTAATTTGCCCTCCTTCCTTGAATCCTGCCTTGTCTTCTACATTAAATAAATCTTTATATGGCCTGCTACTTGTATACCTCTTTCATGGATTACTTAAAAATTAATTTCATCCTTACTCAGAGTTTCTGGGAAGTCAGTGGGCTTGGAAAATTCCCCTCTTCTATTAAAGAAATCTTTTTTCCAAATATCCTTTCAGTGGCAGTACCACTGAACAGGTAGTACCTGTTAATCTTGCTGAAAACATCTGTACATGAGGTATTTGGTTGTTTTGGTTTGGTTTGGTTTGTTGTCCTGTTTTGTTTTGGTGGGATTTGGGTTTGGGGTTTTTGGTTTTTGGTTTTAATAGTATGGGAGATTGAACCCAAAGGCCTCATACATACTAGGCATGCTGTCTACCATGATGAAGTTTATCATGTTGATTTCAAGATTCTCTTTCCCTTGTGGTCAGGAATTCTTGCTGAAGATTTTCTGTGTATTCCGAAACCTGATGAAGATGAGTGTCTTCCCTCGGGACTGGATGGTAATGCGGCTGCTTACTAGCAAGTGAGTAAAGAAGGTCCCTATAATGGCAGAGCTCTTCTCAGATTAAGAAGAGTATATATGAGAAAAACCAAGAAAGGGATAAAGGCAAAGACCAGACAGAAAGAGGATTTGGCAAAAGGAAAAAAATATTTAGAGGTACATTCAGTAAGACTTGACCGTTGGTCATTGACTCTAAAGATAAGAAAAGGATAAAGTTTTTTGTTGTTTTACAAATGGAGCCGAAGTGCCTGGTAGATATTTTGTATAGTGAAAATAGAAAAAAATCAAATGTTAAGGGTATAAAATACGCCCAAGAAAGGGTTCTTGCTAGAAGCAGGCCTCTACAGGAACTAGTGACCTTTATTCTATAACTTCGGACAGTTTCCTAAGCTCTCAATTTGAGTTGTATGCCAGACAGTGCTTGTTTCCAATGACTAATGCTAATACTCACCTGAGAGCTGACTGCAAAGACCTGGACACTATCCTTAATGTATCTATGCCCATTCATATTCCTAGCCTGTGCTTCCTCTTGACAAACCAGATGAGTGATGTATGTGGTAAGGAGCTGGCTTATTTTATTTCTCACCTCAAAGCTACTTGGCTTCCACTCTTTAGACTACTACTGCCTGCTCCCACTGACCCTTATTTTATGTTGGCATTATACAGAATGTAGTAAAATTACTTACATTAGATATATTAGCAAACCAGCATGATATTTCCACTTGGTACCTTTTGTAGAGCACTTTCCCCTCAAAAAACTGCAACAAGTGTTTTGACTAGAACATAACAAAAGAATGCCTACATAGGGCTGGGAAGGTGGCTCAGTGGTAGAGCGCTTGCCTTGCATGCATGAGGCTCTGGGTTCGATTCCTCAGCACCACATAAGCAAAAAGAAAAAAGCTGTAAGTGGCACTGTGGCTCAAGTGGTAGAGCGCTAGCCTTGAGCTGAAGAGCTGAGGGACAGCGCCCAGGCCCAGAGTTCATTCCCCACGACCGGACCCAAAAAAAAAGAATGCCTACATAGTTGTACGGGTACTTGCTCAGATACTACGGATACTTGCTCAAATACTAGATTTTTTTCCTTCTGAATTCTTTATCTCTGTTTCTACTCCCACTCATAGCACTTTAGGCTTCCACTCATAGTCCTTTAGGAAAAGCCTCTTTCAAAGCTTTTACCTTTAAATTTTGTCACCCCTCTGCTAGTGGTCTAGTCTCTCTAATGCACTGTCTTTACTTTGTCCCTTTTCTGAACTAAAGCTCAGGTAGCCCTTTTTCAGACTGTTTAGCCAAGGCCCTCTGCAATCAAACCCTCACTGTGCATACCACTTTCTTTTCTACTCCAACCAATGATCTCAATTACAGCAGAGTAGTCCTCCATTGCCTTTTTAAGATTAGGAGGAATAATCTAGACCAAGGCCTAAAGTCAAATGACTTATAGATAAAAATGCTAGTTATATGGCAAAGGAAGTTAAGATCCTGTTATCAAGTAAAATAATAAAATTATGTATGCCCCAAATCCTACAATCTGTATATCCACAGGTCCCAAAATATTAGAAATTAATCTTTGAGGTAGAAGAAATAATAATGAATTTAATAGTCCAAGGAGAAGTAGTGTAAAAGACACACTGAAATCCTATGCTATTTTACTATGGAGCATTTCTCCAAGACTGGTTTTCTGTGGAGTGTATACTATCTTCTCTGTCCTTTATAGTCACGTCTCACATAGGAGCAAGTTGTCTTGGTATTTTGCTGACAATCCATAGATGCTAAGCAATCAGATGCCATTATTTAGTCTTTTAATTTTGCCAATGCTTTGTTGACTTGTTTCAGTATTATAGTCACTACTGTCCAGTACCTGTCTTCTGCACTACACAAGAATTTCACAGAGACAGATTTTGACTTCAAGGTAGGAGCTCACAAAATCCATCAATACTATGATACCCCTAGCAAGTTAAAAAATGCTCATTGCTTTTTGCTTCACTAATATATTCTTAGTATCAAATAGCTTCTGCACCTGATAGTAATTAGAATATGACCTAGGAGCCTCCCTTGTTGAAGTGTTGAGAGCTAGACATTTATGAGTATGCTTTCTAGTTCAGATCCAACACTCTTGGCTTCTGAAGGAGTCAAGAAAGAAAAAAAGATCAAAGCCCTGTTTGCAAAGATACTTAAAAGGGAAAGCAAATTAGGATCTTAAGGTTATAAAACAGAATCTGTGCTACATGGATGTATTTAATAACTCTCCTTACAAGGCTAAAGACTTAGGCTGTCACATGATTATTCTTTCTTTTGTCTCTCTAGGTGTGGAATTCTTACTTTAGCCTGGCAGTTCTGTTCATAAATCAGCCAAGCCTTCAGCTAGAAATCATCACCCCAGCCAAGAGGAAGAAGATTCTAGATAAGTAAGTCAGACGTCTCCTGTTCATCTTCCTGTCACTTGGCCATATGGGACTACTTTTCCATGACAAGATCCTTCAGAAGTTTACAAGGTTCTCATGGGTGTTAGTTTTCCAATGTGAGAAATTCATTCGATAGCCAAATAGTTTAATATTTTGAGATGCATTAGAAACAACTAGTGCTCAAGTATTGGCCCTATTGGCCTGTCTTTCTGAACTTTCTTCCACTAACAATTGACTCCTGTGTCACTATTCCTAGGTATGGGGACATGCGTGTGATGATGGCTTATGAACTGTTCAGCATGTGGCAGAATTTGGGTAAGTCTTTTCTCCCTATTGCTCTCTCCCACATACTGCAGAGTTAAAAAAAAAAAGACTAATAATTTCCACTTAAGTTAGTTCAATCTTCAAAATCCTTATATAACTTTTAACATAACACCTCAGATGGATGATGTAGCACATGTGCATAAAGCTCTTGGCAGAGAGTGTTTGGCTGAGAGATAAGACCCCAGTACTACATATGTACAGTCTCTGTTTGGAGAACTAAAATCAAAGGAAAAAAAAGAAGGATCCAGTACATTTTTTCCAGTTTGAGAATCAATCCAGGCTTACAAGATACTCTGTTTTTCATGTCCAAGTCTAGATGCTACAGGCTTAAAAGTGTATTGTGACGCTACCTAACACATGAACAATGACTGCTATGAACTTTAGTAGAGGTTGAAATACTTCTTGGATCTCTGGTATTCATATATCCACATCATATACTTGACACTAATTGCATGAAGGAACATGTAAGAAGCGGGTTACAGCCTAAGGATAAGATTGATTTTGATTTTCCCCCTTTCCACAGCTTCTAAAATAACCACCACTTTGGATCTAAAGTTGCCAGATTAAAGTTGTCAGGCACTTGTGGCTCATGCCTATAATACTAGTTACTCAAGAGGCTGAGATCTGAAGTTCAGAGTTTGAAGCTAGCCCAGGCAGGAAAGTCCATGAGGCTCTTGTCTCCAATTAGCTATCAAAAGGCCAGAAGTAGAGTTGTGACTCAAGTAGAAGAGCACTAGCCTTCAGCACAAAAACTCAGGGACAGCACCAGGCTCAGAGTTGAAGCCCCAGGACAGGCACAAAAGAAAAACTTGTCAGATCAGTGTGTCCAGTAGAATCCTTAAGTTGCCTTAATGGCTAACATACTTATGTCAAACTGATAGCCCGGCGTGGTGGCTCACACCGGTAGTCTAAGCTACTCAGGAGGCTGAGATCTGAGGATCGCAGTTCAAAGCCAGCCTGGGCAGGAAAGTGAGACTCTTATCTCCAATAAACCACTGGAAAACTGGAAGTGGTGCTGTGGCTCAAGTGGTAGAGCACTCGCCTTGAGCTGAAGAGCACAGGGACAGCGCCCAAGCCCAGAGTTCAAGCCCCATGACTGACCAAAAAAAAACTGATAGGGGCCAGCCCATGATACTATAGGTATCTGAACACTCTGTCAAGAAGCAAGAGAAGATATTACTGTTTCATGTGAAATATGCTATTTCTATCTGAAATGGGTTTTCAAAATGGAAGAAATAAAAACACTAGATTTGCCTCTATGAAGTCATTATTGACTTACTACTTTCAATGGAACTATCCTCTAATTCCTAAGAATTGATTTTATTTGGCTGTAGCAATTATTGCACTGGTCCACAGTTTATGTTTGTTTTTTTTTTTTGAGTCTGCTGCCTGGGCTGGCTTTGAACTGTGATCCTCAGATCTCAGCCTCCTGAGTAGCTAGGATGACAGGCGTGAGCCACCAGTGCCCAGCCACAGTTTATCTTCTCCTTAGTCTCTCTCTCTCTCTTTTTTTTTTTTTTGTCTGTCCTGGGGCGTGAACTCTGGGCCTGGGTGCTGTCCATCAGCTCTTCAGCTCAAGGCTAGCACTCTACCGTTTGAGCCACAGCACCACTTCCAGCTTTTCCTGCTTATGTGATGCTGAGGAATCAAACCCAGGACCTTATGCATGCAGCATAAGCACTCTACCACTGAGCCACCTTCCCAGCCCCTTCCTTAGTCTCTAAAGTGACTAAAGCAGAGCTCTAATGCTAGTTCTCTCTGCCTCATGATTGCAATAAGAAATACTGTCCCATGGTTCTTGAGGGCTGTGGTACTCTAGCCAGATGATAGGCCAATTAGAGTAGAACCCACATCACTCACTTTCCATGGGAAAGCCTTATAAAAGAAGTTGGAGGATTAACTGAGGCAATCTTAATATATGTAGTGTCACCATCAGAAATATAATATGAAAACAGGCAGAGTTAGGGGTAGACAGAGATACTCCAAGCTAGCCGGTCTGGGTAAGACTGTGCCATAGGTTCTTGGCACATCAGAAAGAAAGATTTTTTTTTTTTGATACACATGAGCACAGGCATTGAAGAGGCCCACATACTTCAGATGTTATACCTGAATGTATATGTGTATATACATACTTAAGGTGTATATCACATGCACCTGGAAGACTGAACCAGGGTCTAGATAGTCTTATCAATTAAATTTCTCAAAGCTAGACGTAGAATCTCTAGAGAAAATAATACTGTGTTTAAGCAGAAATATATGGATTTTCCTTGCTCGATAAATGCTGTAAATAAATAGACCATCTGAAACTTAGTGCATGTTCCTCAGAAATCTTATTCTGTATAGAATAGCAAACAGTGTTTCTTGATTTAGAGATTTTTAGGTGGTTTATGGAATTTTCCAGATTATTTGGAAAAACAATTTCATAAACGTTGAACATCTGCTTTAACTTGGCCAGACTAGTTTTACCCATGAATTCTAAAAAGCTGACGAGTACCTCAGAAAACAGCAGAAGAGAGCTGACTTTACTCTTAGAAGTTTCACGAATAAGCTAGCAATGTTGAGGGTGCAGAGATTTTGTTCAGTGCTGAAACTCAGAGATAATGATCAAACCCACAGCTGTGCTAGGCAAACACTATACCACTAAGCTATATTTCCAGCCCCGGAATAAATCATACCATGTGCTGTGGCCCACCTGGAAATCTTCCATGGAAGATTAGTGCAGACATGCACTGATACCTGTTTGATTTTTTGGTACAGGTGAACATAAGATCCACTTTATTCCCGGAATGATTGGTCCTTTCTTGGGGGTAACCCTGGTCCCTCAGCCAGAAGTGCGGAATATTATGATCCCCATCTTTCATGACATGATGGATTGGGAGCAGAGGAAAAATGGCAACTTCAAACAGGTAAAAGGACACCTGGCTGTGTTCAGGATGTTATTCAAGATGTTATGGACCCATTCTTCTCAGGCAGGTGGCCCAAATGGTCAGGTTGTGGTTCCAGTAATGATGGGCTGTACTGTGGTCATTGAACTTTGTTCAAGGGTTTTCTCTTACTTGCTGGCCATAATTGATTTGTTGATTTATCTTCATCAAGTTAGAAGCAAGAAAAAAATTAGAGGAAATCCAGGATGCTGGATCATACTTGTAATCCTAGTTACTGGGGAAGCTAAGATTGGGAGGATCACTATTTGAGACCAGCCTAGGCAAAAAGTAAGACCACTGTCTTAACCAATAAAAGCTGGGCATGGTGGTGCATGGGTGTCATTCCAGCTAAATGGGATGTGTATATTGGAGGATTGAGGTCCATGCCAGCTTAAACATAAATGTGAAAATTATACAAAAATATCTGGGGCATGGCTCAAAGTGTTAGAGCACTTCCCTAGCAAGCACAAGATTCTGAGTTCACACCCCAGAACTACCTCAAACACACACACACATACAGAGAGAGAGAGACAGAGAGAGAGAATCAGAGGAAAGGGACTAACATCACATGAAAGGAACTTTTGATGAAGTAAAGAATAACAAAGCCTGGTTTCACTCAGGAGATGGCCCTGGGAGCATGTTACCTTCCTCCACTGTATGGCCCTGACATTTTTTTTTAAGGAAAGTAAGTTGGCAATTTATTTTTTTTTCTTTTTTCCTCTGTTTTATTAGTGTATATTAATTGTACAAAGGAGTATCATTGTGGTATTTCCACCCATGCATACAATGTACTTTGATCAAATTTGCCCCTATTACTCTTTTTCATGTCCCCTCTCACCTAGTGTAGGCATTTCTAAGGCTGGAGCCAGACCAGGTAAAGTAGTCCAAGATTTCCCAGTCTGTGGATCTAGGAGACAGTTCTGACTGAGCGCTTTATGCTTTCCCCTTGTGCAATTCTTCTGCCACCACTGAAGTGGTGGAGATGATTCCTGCCTTTATGTCTGTAGCTCCAGGGAATAGTACTAGGATCAATACAGACCATTGTTAGGGAGGTTAGTCTTAGCTTAGAAAAGAAATAATTTGGTAGCAGCATGAAGTGTCCACTTTGATTTGTTCTGCTTTGAGATGAGAATTTGTCTTTGCTGGTCTGAGCAGCTACAGCTATCTGATTCTTGAAAATGAAAACAAAAACATAAAGGAAAACTGGATATCCTGTATATGATCCTACTCTGTATAAAAATTAACTGTGAATGCATCAGAGACCTAACATGTAAGACCTGAAACGTGAAAAGTATTGAGGAAAACATAGGAGAAATACTTCAAGATGAAGGCATCCAAAATGAGACTCTAGTAACCTAGGAAAGAAGAACAATAATTGAAAGATTCTATCAAATTGAGAGGCTTTTGTAAGCCAGGTACAGTGGCTCAAGCCTGCAATCCTAGTTGCTTGGGTAGAACATGAAAGGATCAAAGTTTGAGACCAACCCAGGCAAAAAGTTTGTGAGGCTTCATCTCAACCAGTGGCTGGGCATGTTGGCACATGCCTGTTATGCCATCTACAGGAAGCACAATATCTGAACACAGTGGCATGTTCCTGGCATACACAGTGATGTGGGGAAGCATAAACAGGAGAATTGAAAGCCCCGGCTGGCTTGGGCATAAAGTGAGTCCCTACCTTGGAGGAAAAAAAAAATGGAAAAAGAGCCTAGAGGCATTCCTCAAATGATAGAAGCATCGGCACTTAGTACCTTAAAGAGTACCTTAAAATTTTAAGTCCTGTGTCCTATTTAAACCATTAGGGTGGGAGGCCTTGCTAATTAGAGACAGGTGGTGGTTTCTTGGTGCTGCAAAGAAGATCTTAGAATTTTTTTTAGAATTAATTTTTTTCCTTAGAATTAATTTGGAGCAAGAATAAAATGTGAAAAAGTTTCCCATGATCTTTACCCAGCAAAGACACTAGAGATTTCTCATTCTTTTTCTGAGTTCAGTTTGTGTTTATGAAGTCTGTTTTCTTCTAGGTGGAGGCGGAGCTGATTGACAAGCTGGACAGCATGGTTTCAGAAGGGAAAGGTGATGAGAGCTACAGGGAGCTCTTCGGCCTGCTGTAAGCTGCCCCAGTCCCAGGAATCCCAAATCTGGGGAGTGGGTCAAATGGGCCAATGAAGGTTCAAAGCCTGTCTGTGCTAGGTTGGGTATGAGAAGAGACCTAGCACTTGGTAGTAGCAGTGTTGCTGCTTTCTATCAAGAAAGCAGGCTCTTTCAGGGTATGGCCATAGTTGCCTAAGAAGAGAAAATATCTCAGCTAGTTGACAGGAAGAGGCTCATTGTTTATCTTTACCACAGGCAATGCATCCACTTAGGCCAATCACTCATGGAGACTTAGGTTACTGCTCCATACTGACATTTAAAGGATTGGAATTCTCCTCTAAAAGAGGGGCTCCTGTTTGTCCTGCTTTGCAAGACATTGTAATCAGCTTAGAAAATACTACAGTGGGCTTTTCAATTATTTACACTGTCTTGACAAGCCATTTTCTATTCTGTGAAATGAAATAGTATTAGATGATGTCAGGGTTCCCCTTGGACCACCGTTTTGTGGTTTCCTTCTTGAGTTGATGGAAGGTAACAGCCTTGAGGCAGGTCTTGTAAGGCTTGAGTCCAAAAGAGGGCCTTAGAGAAACTGTAGCCTCCCATGTTGCTCTTTCATCTTTCTAAAAATGCAATCTCAAGCTTTAAAAATGAAATCTCAAGTTCTAGAGTATCCTCGTTTCCAGCATTGATGTTGTTTTCTGTTTGAATTCCATTTTGAAGACAAATCTCTGTTTTTTCAGTACAAATACTGATTGTTTGCTTAGAACATATCTGCAAGGGGAGCAGAGTAAAGATATATCATCCTTTCCACTTTAGCCTGGGCTCAGGGAAGTGCTTGCAAGCCATCAGTTACCTGGCCAATAAAAGGTAACTCCTCTGAAAGGATGGCCCAGATCGTCTAGTTTCAAGAGGAAAATTACTAATTTATCTTACTTTTAAATATTTACTTAATGAATTTTTGACATTTAAATAATTATAATTTATGAAAATGAGTCTATCCTTTAGTGTTTCTTTTAACTGAAGATGATTCTAATTATAGAAATAAGGAACAAGTAAATAACTTCACTGTGAAGGAAAACTTGTTTAAAAATAAAAGAACCCATACTGGGTGTGGTGGCTCACGCCTGTAATGCTAGCTATTCAGGAGGCTGAGATCTGAGGATCACAGGTCAAAGCCAGCCTGGGCAAGAAAGTCCATGAGACTCTTATCTGCAATGAACCACTCAGAAAACCAGAAGTGGTGCCTTGAGCTGAAGAGTTGAGGGACAGCACCCAGGCCCAGAGTTCAAGCCCCACGACCAACCAAAAAACAAACAAGAAAAAGAACCCACAACTACTAATTATGTGAACAAATACTCTTTGCAACACCTTTTGTGTATGTGGTGCTGGAGCTTGAACTCAGGGCTTCCCACTTGCTAGGCAGGTACTCCACCACTTGAACCATGCCTCTAGCCCTATATACCCTTTTAAAGTCATCCTGAGAACTGAAGACCACTGACATTTTCCAATTTATATCTTCAGAAGACATTTATAGAAACACTGAAAGAGAATCCTGGGCTAATTAAATTAGATTAGAAAAGACTGAGTTAAACAAAATTGAACAAGCTGCTGTATTGAAAGACTTCTCATAGCCCTTAACATGCAAAACAGTATAAAAACACTGCAAAACAAGAGAGTGACCAGCATTTCCCATGCTCACTGTCATCCAGGACCAAAGAACTCTATAGATCAGCTTAAGACATGCTAGTACAATGGCCTCTTCTGTGCAGGTTAGAGACCGGAGTTGATGGTCATTCCTTCTCTCCCCAGCAAACTAGATCCCATGGGAAAACCTCATTTTCCCTGAAACTTTGACCTTAATGTATGGTCTGTGCAAGGAAATGAATGCCACAGAAAAAGTATTAGTATCAGCCTTATGTTTGACTCCTCAGTGATTGCCTCCAGTTGGGCCAGTCACTCTAGGCCACTTTCAACTTTAGAGAGCAAGAAGCAGTGTGGAATGGAATTAGGAGTAATTTGTGGAGTGAGACCTGGACCTGAGCTCATTATCAGAGCAAGCAGATAATAGGTCATCATCCCCTTGAAGAGACCAGAAGACCTCAAAAGCCAGGTTTTATGATGAAGCCAGAGACTTGCTCCAAGGTGACAGGAGCATTGTGCTGGTTTGTTTGGCACTATCCCTTGAGAGTGTGTTTGGCTGAGTGTAGCTCCTGGACTTGCTCTCTGTCCCTCATGCTATGCAACAGAGGCTGGTGACAGCCTTCCCTTGATTTACATGAAGAGCTTGGTTTGACTGTTCGCTGAAGCTGCCTCTGGGCCATAGAGGCAGTTAGGCAATTGGCAAAGCCAGACATGTTCTTCTGTGGCCCCTGTCCCTTATCTTACTCCATTGTTCCTTGAAAACAGACTTCCAGGTGTATGTTTGAAGAGGTTGGGGCTTTGAACCACACACAGCTCCACCTCAGAGGTATCCCTAGGGACCTGTATAGAGAAACAGGAGATGTGTTTGTTGCTTCCAGTCCAATAACCTCCTTGTCTTTGCTTTCTGCTTCATGGAGTAGAACCCAGCTGTTTGGGCCATACCCCAGGTAAGAATGCAGTGTGGCAAATCTGTCTCCAGATTGATCACAGCCCCCACGGGCTCTTACATCTTACTCTTTTGCTCAGAAATAGCTCATGAATTGAATTTGCTTCATCTTTTTCAATAGCCTGCTGGAGAAGGTTGAACAGGAAACATGGCGTGAGACGGGTATTTCCTTTGTTACCTCAGTCACCCGCCTCATGGAACGCCTTCTTGACTACAGGTAATTTTTTTCAGGAACCTAACCACTCTCTTCACTAGTATGATAACCTCTCCTGCAAAAGTATTCCGTTGACCTTGAAACAAGGCACATGGCCGGGCGCTGGTGGCTCATGCCTATAATCCTAGCTACTTAGAGGCTGAGATCTGAGAATCACAGTTCAAAGCCAGCTTGAGCAGGAAAGTCCGTGAGACTCTTATATCCAACAAATCACCAGAAAACCGGAAGTGGTGCTGTGGCTCAAGTGGTAGAGCGTTAACTATGAGCTGAAGAGTTGAGGGACAGCACCCAGGCCCAGAGTTCAAGCCCTATGATTGACAAAAACAAACAAATAAACAAACAAAAAAACAGGCCACATGAGATATGCCTCTAATCCCAGCATGGGGAAGGCTGAAGCAGGAGAATCTTGAGTTCAAGGCTAGCATGGGCTGCCTAGAAAGATCATGTCCTTCATACAGAGAGAACTGTTCTGTTCTAGATATTATTACCAGTCATTAGAAGTCAGCCAATGATCAGGGACAAAGCACCTTTCCTCAAGGGCAGACCAAGGCTTCCAGGATCTCCCCAAGACGTGGACACGTGCACTCAGGAGGCCTCCCAGGGACATATAATCATCAGATCTTCTACCTGTAATAGCTAAGGCTCAGAGGAATGGGCAAGAGAGTAGAGAAAGCTATCTCTAGAACAAGACAGGAAGCACCTGTCATATTTCAGTGCAGACCTTTCTCAGAGCCATGTGGCAGACAGGCAGGGTCAGCTATACAAAAATATGACCAGGGAGGACCTTTTGGTCACCCATTTTTCATGACTTATTCTTTGCTTAAATTCTATTTCTGTCCCCCAAATGAGCAGATTAGATGAAACGGTCCATGAGTGTGAAGTCTTTCCAGTTTGAGACCTCATGTGGAATTAGAAAATTTTTTATGAACACTTGTCATTCCAGTCATGGCTTTTGAAGTTGTCCAAAAGTTTAACAATGAATCAACCACAGAAGCTCTAATTATTCTCAGCAGCATTCAGGTGGTGGCTAAGGGTGCCTTTTAAGAGCCAAGAAAAAGGTGAAAAAGAGTAAATAGGAAGGACAGACTTGAAACCTACCTCCAAGCAATAATGCTCTATCATATACAAATGCCAAAGGGTTTTAAGAAATACTAATTATTTGGTGAGCCCATCAACTGTGCCATGGTTGCTATGGCTACAGGATTCTGAAGCTAGGGCCTTTGAGTAGAGGGTCTTAGCTACTACTCGATGGTTTCCCATGAAATGCCCTTTAGCTGGGCTCCAGTGGCTCATGCCTATAATCCTAGCTACTCAGGAGGCTGAGAGCTGAGGATCAAAGTTTAAAGTGAGCCTGGGCAGGAAAATCCTTGAGATTCTTATCTCCAGTAACCACCAGAAAACTGGAAGTGGCACTGTGGCTCAAGTGGTAGAGCTCAAGTGCCTTGAGCTCCAGAGCTGAGGGACAGTGCCCAGGCCCAGAGTTCAAACCCCACAACCAACAAAAAAAAAAAGAAAAAAAGCCCTTTAAAAAGAACTTTGTGCCTTCATTTTTTATTTTTATTTTTTGCCTTCTACTTTAGTGACACAATCTCCTGTGCTAAGGATATTGTTAGATACAACTTAATGCCCTGATTTATCAGCTGGGCTTTGTACTCTGCCACCAGAACAAGTAAATTAAATTAAACATGAAAATGGAGACCCTTGAGCCCCAGGAATGAATAGGTACAAAGTTCCCAAAGCACTCATAATACGATCCTCATCTATAGAGGTACTTTCTGTTAGAGAGCATCTTACCTAAAATTTGATCAGTACTGTTCTTTGTACTGCCCCAGGAGTACCACTTCATATCACAAGCACTAATCTGTGTTATCTCTCCTAGGGACTGCATGAAAGGAGAGGAGACAGAGAACAAGAAGATTGGCTGCACTGTTAACCTAATGGTGAGAGGACATGGCCTCTTCCTTCTGTCTACCCAAGGGAATAGTTTCACCCTGCATGGATTGGCTTGGCCTTTCTACGTATAGGTTACATGGTTTAAAATTTTGAGTCAGGATATCAACTCAGTTACTGGTATATTGGAGAACTGAGCCTTATCAGAAACATTCCCACCTGAGACAAGAGTAAAGGAGCTTTTCTTTGAAGCAGTGTTTTAGCCTCACCTCTTGGAAAGGTACCACCAATCCCAACAAACCCTGATTTATAGCCTTCCTTGATCCCCAATCTCAGATGCACTTCCTCTTTAATATCACTTAGGACTCGCACAGACCCACCCGTGGCTCAACCCCAGCAAGCGTCCTATCTGACTGGTCCATTTTCTGATGCCTCCAGGACCTCCCCTCCTCTTCCTGCTTAGCACATCCAGAGCTTTGGCAGGCTCAAAGTAGGCTCAAACGTGGCCTCCAAAGGTGGCGGACTTTCTCATCTTATGTGTATATTTTCTCTCACACAGAACTTTTACAAATCTGAAATTAATAAAGAAGAAATGTATATCCGATACATCCATAAGCTTTGTGACATGCATTTACAGGCTGAAAACTATACAGGTAAGTGTTCTTGAAGATAGAATGATGGATATGTACAGCTGGCAGAGAAAGGCTCCAAACTGGTGCTTGCCAGATCTCAACAGTGCTGGACCCATCTTATCCCTTTACCTTGCTCCTTCTCCTTAGCTTCTTTGTGGTAAATGGAGAAAGAGCAGACAAAACTCCACCTTCTGCTATGTCCTCCACTCTCTTAGGCTGTTTCACTCTCCTTCCATCCTACCTACCCCTCTGAGGACTCAAAGATGACCTACATTCTGGTGCTCCAGGTTCAGAGCATCCTCAATTCGGTGTCACTCCTCATGGGCAGTTTTTCGTAAATCTCCCAAAGCCTGGCCGATGCATACCTTGCCCTGGTATTCTGCTTAGCCTGGACCACCTGGGATCAGGCTATTCCTGGGCCCCTGAAAAGAAGCCCTAGGCCTCCATGCTATCTATCCTCACAGAGGCTGCATTCACCCTGCTCCTTTATTGTGAGCTGCTTCAGTGGGAGGATCGGCCACTGCGGGAGTTCCTGCATTACCCATCCCAGACCGAGTGGCAGCGGAAAGAGGGGCTATGCCGGAAGATCATCCACTACTTCAACAAGGGCAAGGTAGGTGTCATGGGCAGCCCTCAGTTGCTGCTGTAGCGCATGACATCTTGACATTGTATAGTTGGCAGCAGCTGTAGAGGGTGGTGTGTGGGGAGGCAAGTAGGTGGGTGCCCATATGTATGTATCAGATTTAGAGGCAGCGTAATTTTCTCCCAGTGTTTTAAAAAAAAAGAAAGAAAGAAAGCTTAATTCTATGGCTTGAAAGTTGATTCCAGATTGGAAGAGCCTCAAATGCCAGCTTTGTGCATCTAAAAATGATAACTGCTAAAGCTCCTATAACGGGCTTCTGGGACCCTGTCTGTATTAGATATACTTAAAGAATCCTTTCTGGATGACATTGCTCATGATGCCTTATACTTATAAACTGATTGTTGAATGGTAACTCCTTGAACTACTTGAAGATAATAAAATTATAATTTAAAGGCTGGGAAGGTGGCTCAATGGTAGAGCGCTTGCCTTGCATGCATGAGGCCCTGGGTTTGATTCCTCAGCACCACATAAGCAGAAAAGAAGCCGGGAGTAGCACTCTGGCTCAAGTGGTGGTCGAGTGCTAGCCTTGAGCTAAAGAGCTGAGGGACAGCGCCCAGGCCCAGAGTTCAGACCCCATGACTGACAAAAAATAAATAAATAGATAATTAGATCGATAGATAAAAATATAAAAAATGCTTTCTGTAGAAAAAATAATTGGTAAGATCAGATGGATTGTAATCATAGCCAAAGCAGGTCTACACTGCCTATTATTAACATAGGTAGACATATAAAGTGATTAGAGATGAGATTCTTCATTGTCTTCATTCTTATTTTGTATTTCTTTTACAGAGTAGTCTCGGCTTCTCTATCAGTGTGGTTATTCTAATACAGACTTGCTTCTGTGGGATTGTCAGTGCTGGTTCAGGCTTCCTGGGGGCTTCTCAGCCATCTTGTTCCCATCTCTGGAGAGCTCCTCCTAGATCCTCTGGAACCTACCATAGCATGTGTCCTATGCACTAGAAAGATTAGAGATATATAACCTTTTTAAACTGTTCTCTCAGCCAGATGCTGGTGGCTCACACCTGTAATCCTAGATGGCTGAGATCTGAAGATCGTGTTTCAAAGCCAGTCTGGGCAGGAAAGTCCATGAGACTCTTATCTCCATTAAACCACCAGAAAACTGAAAATGGAGTTGTGGCTCAAAGTGATAGAGTACTAGTCTTTGAGCAATAAGCTCAGGGACAGTGGCTGAACTGATACTCCATTACTATCAGCTTAGCTTAGCAATGTGACATCCTGAGTTTAAACCGCAGTATTGCCAGGAAAAAAACAACAACAACAACAAGAAAAAACTATTCACTTAGAAAAGAAAACATTCACTCTATGCAGAGGATATACTAGAGAGGCACAAAAACCTTTCTAAAACTGCGAAAGCTTTCCTGTAGCCTAGTTTACAAGAGAGGTTCTTGTTCTTCTCTCATCCAGCCCAAGTAACAGATCCACAGTGCTGTCCCAGAGCCTCTACCCCTTCTGGTCCAGAGCCTGAGTTAGGGCCTCTCACTAGTCTGGTTTTAGGCCTGTCTTCCTGGCTTTAGTTGACCTGGAGCTGCTGCTATCCACAGGCCCAGCAAGCTTGCCCATAACAAAGAGATGTAAGCATACTGTCCATCTGTATGAGTAGTTTTGTACATTAGTTTCTTTCCACAGATGCACAGGGCAGAGTTAAAGAGTAATCCTGATCTGACTGCTGGTAGAACATATGATAATAATGACCATCTCTTCATCCCACACTATAGTAATGCATAGAAAATCAGGATTAAACCTTAATATGGACTAGGGAGTAATGTGCAAAGCATGATAGGAAATTTATAGTTCAGAAAGGAGAGACCAGTAGACTTCATAAGTCAGCTTCTTGTATATCTTTTCACTTCTTCCAGAAACTCTACCTTGATTTTACAAATTGCTTGGTAAACCCCTTCATGAGGGACATTTCAAGTCTCAACTCCCAGTCTGCCACATCCTGTCCCTGAAGTTTTCCTCTCTTGTCTAGTGTGTGAGAGCTGGCCCTCTGTGGAAAGCTAAGGCAGCGTCCTGGGTTACGATGCATTAAAAAAAATCTCTCTTTCACACACACACACAATCTTCCAGAGTTGGTAGAAGTGAATGGATTTTATAGTTAGCTTGTGTCCTGCCAAAAGGAGAGAAGCAAAAAAGAAGTAGCAAAGGATGTATTATACCTGCAGTACATTCGTTACCTGTGTCCAGAGACAGCTCTTAAAAGCCCTTACACACCCTAAAGACTAGCAGAATGTCTTTAAACTCTTGGTTTTGCTATGCTCTAAAGATATGGTAGGGGAAGGGGATACCTTGGATCACCAAAGTCACAAATTAGAACTGAGGTACCAAGAAGATAGATGAACATTTATCCAAATTGGAACCACTGTCAGCAAGCTGACATGGAGCCCTCATCACCTAAGTAAGCTTATGGGCAGCTCCTGACAGACTGGCCAGAAAGAAGTAGCAAAGCTACCCCATAGAACTACCTTTCAGGCATGCTGTTAGAGGTCCTCGGCTGTAGCCTGCTCAAGTAGCACCTGGAGCTGGAAAGAGGACTGATGCGATGCGATGGTGCAAGGAGTTTTCTTAGCTTCCTGAGGCAGAGGCAATGTATTGGGCAGAGAGCCAGGCTCTATTTAAAATCCTGCATGTCTATTTGTCTTTTTAATTGGACCAGCAGTTTTAGTCCATCTGGCATTGATTTCTTCAAAGAATAGAAATAATATGCTCTTTTAGAAAAATACAATCTCAAAGGAGATTGGTTTCCTTCTCCTTGAGGCTGTTTCAGATAGTATTATTAAAAATACAGTCTTGACCTGGTATTTATTGGTAGAATTATATGGTACCTAAGATTTGCGTGGGAAACTATGGAGAGGAGAAAGTAGATAAGAGTATACATGATGTTTGATTGGTCCTGAGTTGGTCTTTTTTTTTTTTTTTTTTT